TGAGCATCTGAGTTTGGCTCAGGACATGATCTCACAGTTCGTGGGTTCGAGGCCCGGGTCGGGCTCTGTACTGACAGCTCAGAGCCTGGAGCCTGTTTCAAATTCTGTATCTCCCTCTCTCTCTCTGTCTCTCGCCCACTCACACTGTGTGTGTGTGTGTGTGTGTGTGTGTGTGTGTGTCTGTCTCTCTCAAAAATAAATAAACATTAAGAACTTAAAAACTTTCCAAGGTTAGTAAGTTTGCAGTTACTTGGTGGAAAAATAGCCATTTTCTTACATGATTATCACATCAACCAAGGTTGTGATGTATCTTCACACACCAGCATCGCCAAAGCCAAGACTAAAATTGGTTTTGTTGGTGAGTCGATTACTTAACAGGAAACAATGCAAGGTTTTGTGGACTTGAAGAATTTGAATCCAAAAGAATGATTCATTTGCTTGCTTTGTTTGCTTGAGCGCTGAATGTTTTCTTCCTGCATATGATATACACATTTTTTTTTTGTAATATCCAAGGGACAACATATCAGCTTTACTTCTACAATCCTCCCTTCTGTTTTTGTTCAAGCCTTCTCCCTTAAAACAGGGATTTGATCACGTGTGGTTTCTTAAAACAGTTTTTGGTTCAGTGTTACTGATTTGATGATATCTTTGGTTCAACTAGTTTTGTTTAGCTGAGTGTTGCAAGATGTGTTGGTCAATATAGAAGGACATAAAGAGCTCATGCCATTTGGTAAACACAACTAGAGTCTCATTGTGGTTAAAAGATTGAAGTTTGTTTGTTTGTTTGTTTGTTTGTTTGTTTGGAGGCTTTGTAAAGTCCCAGGAGTTGTCATGTGCTTTCATGGCTCAGAAGTATTTCATTCTTCTTTTCAGTCCATCAACTAGGGGGTCGGAAACCAGGGAGCACGCAACTTAGCTCCTCGGGGGGTTCATCTTTCAAATTGACTGTAAGGTTATCACCGATCTTAGAGACGTCTAAGTGTGTTCATGCTCGTAGCCTGTCCCCAAAGTGTTATTTTTGCCATCTATATAATGCTGGCCTTCTATCAGCCTTACAACAGTATCAGATCAGTTTCTGGAAGGGATTTTTTTTTTTTTTTAATTTTTTTTTTCAACGTTTATTTATTTTTGGGACAGAGAGAGACAGAGCATGAACGGGCGAGGGGCAGAGAGAGAGAGGGAGACACAGAATCAGAAACAGGCTCCAGGCTCTGAGCCATCAGCCCAGAGCCCGATGCGGGGCTCGAACTCACGGACCGCGAGATCGTGACCTGGCTGAAGTCGGACGCTTAACCGACTGCGCCACCCAGGCGCCCCCCTGGAAGGGATTTTATAAGCATCATTTCCATGTGTGAAGAGGAGGGGGTTATTCTTGCTTTTTTGTTGTTGTTGTTTTTGTTTTTCTTTTACGGACAAAATGATGTTTGTTTCTTATATGTGGAAGTATTTAATTCAGTAGAGTTCTGGGAACAAGATGGGACTTTTCCCAGTGTTTTAGTTGTGCTTTTCACACAAGGTTTTTTGTTCATTTGGGTTTTTTTTTGTTTGTTTTTTTGTTTTGTTTTGTTTTGTTTTGCCATTTTAAGTATACAGTTCAGCAGCATTAATTACATTGACAATGCTGTGTAAACCTCACCACTGTCTGTTCCCAGATCATTGTCATCCTCACAGGCAGAAACTCTGCACCCAGTAAACAGTAACTCCCCATCCTCCTCCTCCCCAGGCATTGGCAACCACCATTCGACTTTCTGTCTCTATGAATTGGCCTATTCTCTGGGTCCCTCATTTAAATGGAATTATACATTACCTGTCTTTCTGGTCTGTTTTATTTTGTTCTTGATTCTTTTGAGGGAGAGGGGGCAGAGGGAGAGAGGGGAGAGAGAGAGCATCTTAAGCAGGCTGCATGCCCAGCACAGAGCCCAACGTAGGCTGGATCTCACCACCATGAGATCATGACCTGAGCTGAAAATCAAGAGTCAAACACTTAACTGACCAAGCCACCCAGGTGCCCCTGTCCTTGATTCTTTTTCTTAATTTTAATTTAATTTTATTTATTTGTGTGAAAGAGAGAGAGCTGGGGAAGGGGCTGAGAGAGAGAGAGAGAGAGAGAGAGAGAGAAAGAGAATCTTAAGCAGGCTCTATGCCCAGCACAGAGCCTGATGTGAGGCTCGATCCCATGACCCTGGGATCATGACCTGAGCCAAAATCAGAGTTGGGCTCTCAACTACCTGAGCCACCCAGGCACCCCTGTCTTTGATTCTTAATAGTGGAATTTTCACACCTAATGACATGAGATTTCTTGCATGAAAACAATTTTATTTATAAACTTGATTTATTATTGGTTATCGGTTAATCGACACATTGCCTTATTGAAAACCTATCCTCGTAGGAAGAAGGATAAATTTGTATTGAACTTATGTAAATGCTACGTATTCATGAAAAAGAAGTTAATAAAATCACTCTGTAAATGTTTAACCATCATTCTGAATAGTTTTGTAAACAGGGCCAATTTATATATGCTATGCTTTTACAGCATCATTATCTTTGTTTTTCTGAGGATTTGTTAGATTATGATCGATGGTAGGAATTTTTTTAAAAAAAAAATTTTTTTTTTCAACGTTTTTTATTTATTTTTGGGACAGAGAGAGACAGAGCATGAACGGGGGAGGGGCAGAGAGAGAGGGAGACGCAGAATCGGAAACAGGCTCCAGGCTCCGAGCCATCAGCCCAGAGCCTGACGCGGGGCTCGAACTCACGGACCGCGAGATCGTGACCTGGCTGAAGTCGGACGCCCAACCGGCTGCGCCACCCAGGCGCCCCGATGGTAGGAATTTTTATAGGCATTTTTTATCCTGAGGTGTTGGAATAATATGTCATTTAAAGAACGTTTAAACTTAGCTTGCCCAAGTATAGCCATAGATTGAGGATAGAAATTAGATTAAGAAGAAAGAATGGGTCTTTTTTTTTTTTTTGGTCACATATCCACCAAAAATAGAACATTAATCTGGGTAATTAATTCTCATTTTGTTGATCTTTGGTTAAGCAATCTGCTTTTATGAAGTCATCCGCTTCTGGAATAAAAGAATCTGGTGAACTTCTGCCTCAGTCCCCTTTTGGGAATATGAATTTATTCCCAATTATGCTCCATAAATTTCCAATCTCTGAGTGGGAAGAAAGAAATCTACCTACAAATAGATTATATTGTAATCAGATCATTCTTTTGTAAAATGTTTTCTTCTTTTACATACAAAAACAAAAAGAACTACCACTTTTGGTTTTACTACTTTAATTATGGTCAAAAATAAACACAGGGTGAAATCCAGCCATCAGTCAGCTCCTCATCTCATAGGGCTGTTTTCCACGAGTCACGTATACACGTGCACACACATGCACACACATTCACACATGCAGACAACTTTTTGAGTAATTTAAAAACCCATAAGACAACAACAGTGAGCCTCCTGGGAGATACCAGAATCCTCAAGAAAAAAAAAACAGACCAAAAGAGAAACGGAGAAAGACGCAAAATACAAGCAAATTCCCATCAACTGCCACCCAGCAGAGAATAAAATCCTATCATCTGTCTCCCCATAGAGACCAAATGGTCAAACCATAAAACTAGATGCACAGGTCATTGTCACCAAAAGGGACATAAACGGCCCTGTACAAATAAGTAAGAACACGAACCAGAATCGGATTTGGCCAAGAACCAGACTTAATTAGGATCAGACGTACAAACAGTCGGATTGGGGAAGGTGGAAAGAAACATCAGCAAGGGTAAAGCTGTTGCCACACAAGGTCCACCCTGGGAGCTGGAAGAGGGGCGTGTCCAAATGTCAAAGCCCATGGGGTACATTTCTCAGGCAACACAGTTCAGGTCGTTTGGGAAATGAATCCTCCTGGACAGTCTCAGTGAGACAGACCTCCTGCTGCAGAAAGAAACTAACAGACAAAAGTCACTTATTAAATGAGAACTTGCAGGCTAGTTTGCCAGGGAATCAGACTGCAGAAGAAAAGGCTTAAGCCAGTGGAAAATATAATAGGTGTTTAAAGAAACAACAATTATCAAGACTAGGTTTAGAGTTTGTCTGGTCATGGAAAAATGGCAATTTTCTCACATTTATCATATCTAGAAAAGTCATGACATATCTCAGACGGCGCCATTGCAAGAGTCAGAAACATTCTGAACACGGAGAAAGCAAAGTATCTCTGAAGATCAGCTCTGGAAGGGAACACAGATGTTTTCTTCTGGGTTTTTTTCTTTTGTTTTGTTTTGTTGTTTTTCTTTGTACCATTAAATAGTCTGTTGAAGCTCCTAAGAGAATGAAGGGGCTCATGTTCCCTAAGGCTTACATCTTACAGTTACAGGCATTCTGCATTATATTTATCATCTAAATTTTAAGAATCCCACTAGTAGGGGCACCTGGATGGATCAGGTGATTAAGCATCAGACTCCAGCTCAGGCCATGATCTCTCAGTCCATGGGCTTGAGCCCCACGTCCAGCTCTGCTCTGTCAATGTGGAGCCTGCTTGGGATTCTCCCTCTCCCTCTTTCTCTGCCCCTCCCCAGCTCTCTCTCTCTCAAAATAAATAAATAAATAAGCTTTTAAAAAAAGAATCCCACTAGTAAAATCTCCCTAATACTGGAGAAAATAAATTGTATTGCTATGAGTTTGAATTCTTAACAAAATTACATTAGTCTTGAGTTTTAAGTGTGAATTCAAAAAATGTTATGAAAACAAATTCATTAATTTGTAAATAAATTTTAATTCAATGAAAAAATGCTTCTAAAAGTTGAGAATAAAGTTGTTATCCTTTAGATGACCTGTTTTTGTTTGTTTCAAGGTCGAAGTAGGGTTTTTTTCCCCCTTTGACTATGGGGTGTTAGTGGCCACAGGGCAAGATGTCAATTTCACATCCACGAACCAAATAGCTGGATGTTTGACAGAAATTTTCATTTTCTAACTGAATACTAGAAAAACTGTTTAGACAAGAAGTGACTGGTATGCTTTCTTTTTAAGAAAAGATGCTTTTCTTTAAGATGCTTAAGTTAAGATGCTTTCTTTTGCAAGTAAGAGAAAAACCAACTCAGACTGACTTAAACACCAAGGAGAATTATCAGCTCATGTGTGAAAACCTGTAACAGTGGGGATGGGGTTTCAGGCACTGTTGCGGGGGCGGGGGGGGGGGGGGGGGGTCTCCAGGTCTGTTTTCTCTAGAATTGCCTCAAGTTCTCTCTTTCTGTCTCTGTCTCTGTCTCTCTCTCCCAACTCAGATTTCAGGCTGATTTAACCTCAGGATGGCAAAATGGCCACAGCTATTTCTGCCCTCACATCCACACATGGGAGAAGATTTCTGTCCTTTCAGCCCCCCTGGGCTTCACTCGCATTGCCAGCTCACATCACAAGCTTCTCTTGAACCAATCACTCAGCAAGGGGAATAGGTTTATGCTGATGACCCTGTCCAGTCAGGACCCACCCTGGAGTTGAGGGGGATGCTAATCCCATCCTCCAACCAGTATCGCCACTATACAGTGGAGAAGAAAGAGATGCCTGCTAGAGCATTCTGCGTTCCCCACAGAATCTCAGCTATTGACAAATTCTATAGGTACCTCCCACCCCTCCCTTTTTTTTTT